TGGGATCTTATGGATTGTTTTTTTTTAGGAAGACCCTTCGCACACCCGAATTGGTGCTGTGTAAGCGCCAGCAGCTGGTGCTGGGTAAGCGTCGGGCTGGGTGCTGCGTAAGCGCCAGCTGATGGTGCTGTGTAAGCGTCATCGCTTGGTGCTGCACAAGCGCCAGCAGATGGTGCTGGGTAAGCGCCATCTGCTTGGCGCTGCATAAGCGCCAGTGCATGGACATCATGGAACCAGCAATTATTTTTGGGGACATCATGGAACTAACGTCATGGAACATGAAACATCATTTGTTAGCGCTTTTTCAGCACTCATCTTAAGTATTGATACAGTCAGTTTCGAACGCAACCAAACTTGATGGCAGTGGGAACCAGAATGCAAAACAACGAAATCATTTGCAATCCAAGACATTGAAGTGAAGTTTGCAATACCAGGGGATGCGCATCTTGATTTTCAGCTCAAGAAGTAATTACATAGAATTGGGGGGCGCGTCCGCAGCACCATGCCATTTCTTTATGCCATTTCTTTAGAAGAAAAAACAGATGTTCGTAAACACACGCTTACTTACCATCAACCCATTTGAGGATGATTGAACAACTGTTTGGTATGGATGATTGAACAAATTTGACGTTGAAGCGGTTGGCCAAGAGAGGAGCCGAAGACCCTTCATTGAGGCAACTATTCACAGTACGCGAACCCTATTCTTAGAACCAACTTGTATGTTCATGAACCCTTGAATTTTCATCATTGCGTGCCATGTGAAGGGCGCAGCCCGTGCATACATACATGATTGCGGGGCCGTTGTCATTGATTGACATGGGTCATTCGTACAGTCATTATAGAAAACATGCCCATCTTAACCCAAACAAGATCCAAAAACCTGCATTTTTGAAAGGTCCCATCCAGCGACCCGTCCCGGATTTTGGCACTCATCTTGAGGGGTTGCCATCTGGCACCCCCGTGAGGGTGCCAGATTTGGAAAGATTTCTGTCTGTTAGTGAACTGTCAAACCAGTTCATCTTTTGGCGCAATCCACAAGTTGGGCACAAATGCAGCTTTTAATATGGGAAAGACACCTTGTCCAGATCAAGAAATCCACATGTTTGAGGCTTCCGTGGACCTAGGCATGAATAACCCTGCAAAAACCAGAACCCCAAAAAGGTCCATGGTAGTTCGAGGGTGAAAAACCCTGCATTTTTGAGGCTTTTGTGGACCCAGGGCTAAATAACCTTGCAAAAACCATGGGATTTTGGCAAAGCTTAAAATAGTCTTCGGGGGCCGCCTTTTTGGCACTCATCTTGAGGGGTTGCCATCTGGCACCCCCGTGAGGGTGCCAGATTTGGAAAGATTTCTGTCTGTTAGTGAACTGTCAAACCAGTTCATCTTTTGGTGCAATCCACAAGTTGGGCACAAATGCAGCTTTTAATATGGGAAAGACACCTTGTCCAGATCAAGAAATCCACATGTTTGAGGCTTCCGTGGACCTAGGCATGAATAACCCTGCAAAAATCAGAACCCCAAAAAGGTCCATGGTAGTTCGAGGGTGAAAAACCCTGCATTTTTGAGGCTTTTGTGGACCCAGGGCTAAAAAACCTTGCAAAAACCATGGGATTTTGGCAAAGCTTAAAATAGTCTTCGGGGGCCGCCTTTAGACCCAAAAGGCGGCCGGGGAAGCTAAAATTACATGTAAAAAAGCTGAACCGCAACATTTTTGCGCGCAGCGCAAAGCCCGTACTTCAATTTTAGCAATCCATATTTCACGCCTATGGCCTTCAATGATAGGTATCAAAAATACAAAAACATGCCCTTCTCCGAACCCTTTTCTGAGATCCGCAGTGCGAGACGTCAGGCCCAGCGCCAATGCCAACGGGACCTTGGCAACGCAGCGACCAGGACCTGGAAAACCTGTTGGGGTGGTTGGCAACCTCGGCGCTTTTTCAGCACCTGGTAAAAACCTGTTAGTTGCGGCGGTTGGGAACTGAGCGCTTTTTCAGCACCCGGAAACTCAAAAGGCGTTGGACAAACCCCTCTGCCTATAGAAAATCAACGGGTGGTAGTCGACTCGGTGGTGGGGAATTGCAGCGCTTGTTCAGCACCGGAAAGCAGCATTTTTTCGTAGCATTTGAAGATGCCGTTGGCAAGTTTTTGCCTTGAAACGTGGTGACGGTAGGTCCGTTGCCGAAATCGCAGCAGTGAACATCCGATTCAATCCTCATGGTCCCCTCAACAGCACTGAACTGGTGGTTGTTGGTACCGTAGTCTTTGTTGATTGCGCTTTTTCACAAACTGGACTGGCTCTGGACCCCACCCGGACTGGCGTTGCGGGCTCTACTCAGGCTCACCGGCGCCCTCAGCTCTTTCTCTTTGCCTTTCCTTTGGCGCCCTCATCGTCCTTCTTCTTTTCCTTTCCCTTGGCACCCGGATCCTCTTTCTTCTCTTCGTCGTCCTGTGAGCCGGCCTTCTTCTTTTCCTCCTTATTTGAGGCTCCTCCGTCGCCCTCATCCGCTTTGCTTTCATTCTTTTCGTTCGTCTTTTTCTGCTTCCGTGAAGCTCCTCCTTTGTCCTTCTTTTCCTTCTTCGGGGGCTCGCCATCGCACTCCCCCCCCTCCTCCTCCTCCTCCTTTTTCCTTCTTTTCTTCCTATCTTTCTCTTCTTTCCGTTCCTTTTCTTGTTTGTCTTTCTCCTCTTGGTTCTTTTTTATCTCATCCATCTTCTCCAGCAGCTGGCGGTTCTTCATCTGCGTTTCACGGAGCTGCGTTTTGCAGCTGTGGTAGCGGTCCTGCAGGATGGCCGTGCTTAGGCTTGTTTGGCGCCGACGCTTATTCAGCACCGGTCCAATATAAAAAAATGAAAACCAGCAACATGTTTTAACCATGTAAGTAGCGCTTGTGCAGCACCACGGCAATTATGAACTCACGTCAGTTTTTTTTAACCCAGCACACGACCCGATGTCCTCCAGGTTCTTCCTCTGGTCATTGAGCTGCTGCACATCCCATTGCAGTTGGACGATCTGCTGCCCGGTCTGCTGCAGCCGCCGTTCTGAGTGCTGGAGCTGCTCTTGTGGCACTGCCTGCGACAGCAGCTGCTGTGTCTCCTGCAACTGCTGCTCCAGTTGTCGCAAGTGCTGTTGCAGTTGCAGGATTCGCTGCTGAGCCTGCTGCAGCTGCTGTTGTGACTGCTGCGCTGCATGCTGCAGCTGCTGCCCGGCCGTCTTCAACTGCTGTTGCTGTTCCTGGATTTGCTGCAGCGCTTGTTGCACCTGTTGCTGCGACTGTGCCAACTGCTGTTGCAACTGCTGCGCCTGCTCTTGCGGCACTGACTGCAGCATCTGCTGTTGCAGTTGCTCATTTTCGTGCTTGCAGCCGGCCAGGTCCTGTTGCGCTTGCTGGAGCTGCTGCTGGAGCTGCTGCTGCTGCTGCTGGAGCTGCTGCTGGAGCTGCCGCCTCTCCAACCGCTGCTCGCGGCACGCGTTCTGCCGGTTGCTGCGGCTGTTGCCGAGCCCTCCGTCACTCCCTGGCCCAGACCATGGGTGCCAAACCCAGCGCCCTTCGCTGTCCGCGCCCCACTCCATCTTGAGATGAAAAAACAGCAGGCGGCAATGAGTTTGACAAGTGGGTTTCAGCGGCGCTTCCTCAGCACCAGTATCACTTATCTGAAAAGCGCTTTTCCAGCACTGAACTGCAAAGGGATCCAAACACTCTATTACTATTCTTATTGCGACAGTGGAACCTGCAGGATCGGCGGCTCTGGGCTCTGGGCTGGCCAGTCAGACATGGACCCGTCGTCTGGGGCCTCAGTTCCGGAGTGTTTAATCGCTAGTTTCTACCAGAGTGCTGAAAAAGCGCTTGCTCAGCACCAGTTAGTTGGTTGGGCTCTTGTGGGCGCTTGCTCAGCACCTAGTCAAAAAAATAGTGAAGCAACATGACACGACATCTGATCTCGAACCTCAATCTTGGCAAAATTGCCACGTAAGGGCGCTGCGCAAGCGCCATCATTATCCTTGGCTGGAATTCAAAAAATGGCGCTTGTTCAGCACCAAGCTAGTGAAAGGTACATTATGCGGCGAAAAAGGTTTGTTCCGCAGGCGCTTGCTCAGCACCGATATGTTCCCAAGATCCTCAGCATGATGGTATCATTATTACTAGCCCAAACGCGAGCCTATGACATTCAAGTTAAATACATAGGACTTGGAGCGTGTGGACAAACATGGGGAAGAAGCTCGGCCGCGCTCACGCGTTGCAGGGGCAGCCATGGAAAGAATGGACAAAGTACTTGAAGACCTACGCGGAGTTGAAGTATTATATCATTGTGTGCTTGATCGAGTCTCTATGTGTTCGAGTCACTCAGGTCTGTCGGCTGAAAGCTGAGCACGTCGACTTGAGGAGGAACCGTGTTTGGCTGGACAAGTTCAAGAAGCATAAAGCCATATGGAAACCTATCCTTCCATCAACAGTGGCAATGATCAAAGAATGGAAGAAGACAGGCGGAACCGGATGGAAATGGCCGAAATCAGGGTATGTCTTCCCTGCCTCAGGGAAAGGAAAAGGGAAGCCGATAACAAAGGATATAGTTGCCAGGCACATTCGCAAACATCGTGATGGCTTCGTGGCAAAGTTCAAGGAAAAGTATCCTGACCTACTTAATGGCCAGAATATCCGTAGCCATTCTGGCCGGCGGCATTCTATCTCAGAACTTGCAGGGGCTGGAATATCAGAGTCTTTTGGAATGGCATGGTCCCAAATCGAATCCCGAAAAGTGTACCAAAACTATGTGGACCTGAACCCTGAGTCCGTATACTCAACCGTGGCCAAGCTTGACAGGAAACTGCATCGCCGCCGCTGAGTGACCCGGCACACCGCAGAGGCGGAGCTGCAGACCTGTTGGGGCCGAAGCTGCTTCACGACATTGAGGATGTAAAACGTGAAAACAAGAAACTGTTTCATGGACTGCCGACTTGTTTCACCCAACCGTTTTCGCGAAGCGAAGCGGTCTTGCCTAAATTAATGCAACGGGCAGGCGTCAAACATGCTGCTCATCACATTGGCCAGAAGCGGAATTGGGATTGCGTTCCCAACAATGTAGCCCAACTGAGTCTCTGTGACCACATCTTTCGGGTACACCTTCTTTGGCAGCCCCTGAAGCGCCCACATCTCCTTCGCAGTAATCTTCCTTTTCAACCAACTCAACCAGTACCCACGGCTCCCACAGCGGCTTCTTGTCAAACATGGCAAGTAACCCAGGTTGTAGTGCGAGGATGTGCCACCCAGGTTAACGACATAGAAGCCCTGGGTTGGTTTGCCTCCCCCAGCACGGATTTTCTGGTAGGACTCATGTAGGTTGTTCAGCTCAGTTTTGTTGAGGCTGTTCAAGTCTGATTCATCTCCCACATCCTTGTCGTTGATGAAGCGGGTTAACGGCTGCATCTCAACCTCAGTGTAAAACGGTGGAAACTAAAACAACCAACAAGCTGTGTTCCAATAAATAAGCGAAGGGATAAACAACAAAAACGCAATTCCAGAAATCAAATTCGACTTAGGGGCAGACATGGGCCAAGCAAAGTCATAGGTTTTCTTGGCGTTCAGCATCCCAATCACCACGATTCTCTCGCGGTTCTGAGGCAAGCCGTGATTGCGGGCATTCAGGCACTTGCACAGCACCGTGTACAAAGGCTTTCTGGTTCCCGTCACCTTCAAGCCACGAAGGTGCTTCATAATTTCCATCAGCACTTGTGGATGTTGGGTCAAGAGCCCCTTCACATTCTCCAAGACAAACGTTGTGGGTTGCCGCTCTTTGATGTACTTCAACAGCTCATAGATCACCGTACCATTCGCTTCATCAGCCACTCCTTGCCCTAGGCCCTGCAGGCTAAAGGGCTGACAAGGGAACCCACCCAGGAAGAAGTCCACTGTAGGAGCATCCCGAAGAAACTCTTTGTCAAACACGTTGTTGAAGTACTGTTCATGGCTCCAAAGATGTTGGCTCACCTTCGTGACATGTTGGTTGCAATCGCAGGCGAACACCGGGCGCACCTCCAGGCCCAGCATCTCTGCCGCAAAAAGCTCAGAACAAATGCCCGAGCAGGCTGACCCGAAGGTCAAAGGAACTGACCGTTTGCGCTTGCCCATCTTGATCCAATTGCTGCAAAAGCGGCGTAAGTCACAGCGCTTCTTCAGCACCATGTGCAAATAATTTCATGATGCTACGAAAGCGCTTGTTCAGCACTAAGGTATAATAATCTTGACAATGCTCCCATGCCAAATAACTTCAAGGTGCTGCGAAAGCGCTTCTTCAGCACTAAGCTGTAATAATATTAACAATGCTCTCGTGCCAGATAACTTCACGGTGCTGCGAAAGCGCTTCTTCAGCACTAAGGTATAATGATATTAACATAACAGCTCACATTCCAAATAACTTCATGGTGCTGCGAAAGCGCTTCTTCAGCACCAAGGTAACTTTTAACAACTGCACAACTGCACCATCACCCCTCAGGCCTTCATCACCGTCACCACAGCGTTGCGACCTGGCGGTGGGCAAGGCTTGGGCCTCACAACCAGGAAGGCGACCTGAAAAAGCGCCTGTCACTTAAACAAGATAAAGATCCAAGAATGAATTTCGATGATTGGTGTTTGTTTCTTAAGCGCTTGCCCAGCGCTTGGGACCACCGGTAGATGATATGTTTGTTTTATTATGTTTCAACAGTGCTGCAAAAGCGCTTATTCAGCACCTCTTTTTTTCAGCTCGCTTGTGCATTTGCGACCTGAGGGTCCTAAAGTCTCTGGGGGACTGACTCGGAGATGGCCGGGCCGGTCAACTGACAAATTGCTCGGTATTGTTTGACCAGTCTTGCATTGCATTGTGTATTGTTTGCTGCAAAGCTCCAGTTGAATTTAGTTGACCGTGCTTCCAAGCCCAAGTTTTGAGCTGATCTTTGGCAACAACTCTTTGGTATTATTTTCTAAAGCTTTCACGCTGGCAAGTCCTCATCCTCAGGACCGTCGGCCTCTTCCTCGTCCTTGTCATCCTGCATTTTGATCAAAGCATCGATGATATCTGTCTTGGCTTTCTTGGTGGTCTGGTTTCGTTCGCCACTCTCACCATCATCTTTCCGCTTCTGATTCTTTTCGCCGTTGCCTCGACCACGTCCTCGACCACGGCCACGGCCTCCAGCACCACGGCCTCCAGCCTGACCCTCGTCGCCGTTCGTGTCGGTTTTGTCGGTCTTATTCTTTGAGATCTTGCTCATCAAATTTGCCCTAGGACAATCAACACAATGAGAAGATAGCGCTTACACAGCACCATAATTTAAGTGGCACTTGCGCCTACCTTTGTAAACGGCGCTTACGCAGCACCATAATGTTGATGTAAGTGGCACTTGTGCAGTACCTTGTAAACGGCGCTTACACAGCACCAAAATGACCACTGTAACCGACAACCAACACGATTTGTTATAAAAAAACAAACAAAGAGAAAACTAAAAATACACGCTGCAGTAATTAGATTACCAAGTGTCAAAGCAACTCGGTAAATCGGCGAGCTTTGCAGCTGGAACTGGTTGACGACAAATTCGGTCAGCCTTGCCCGCAACGCAGCTCCATGCTCAGCTGTGTAGACCAGGACCACGCAAGGAACTTTGGCCAAAACCGCTGCCATCGCCCCAACTCCATCTGGATCACAAACAAAAAAAACCACACCTGCACAGAATGAATGCAGAAGCTCTCGGTAGAATTTCACCGGCATTGCGTGGTAAGTCATTGGCTCTCCGGATAGCTGGGGCTTGGCAGGAGCGTCTGGGAGCCCGCCACCAGCCAAGACTTTCGCGTTGCCACCCTCGTAGATCTTCTTCTTCTCAGCTGGCACCAGCCACATGTTCTCCACAGGCTCAAGGACAACTGGCCCGATGGAAGTTGACATGTTGCTTCCACCGTAGAGCCTGGTGCGACTGGCAGGCAAACTCAAAGCACCGTTGGTAAGCACCTGCATTCCCTCGTGACAGGTCACCAAGCCGCGGCTGAGGTGCTTCCGCGCCTTCATCGATTTCTCGTCGTAATGCACCACGAACTCTGACCTCGTCTTGTTCTCAAAGTGAGCGCCATCATCACGAACAAAGCAGCTCATCATGGAGGTGGAAATCTGCCGAGAGCCGTCCAAGAGCAGGCACATCTCACCCTCATCAAACTGCTCTTTGTTCCTTGCCATGCAGAAAGCTTGGACGGCGTTTTTGAGGACAACGCTCCGAAACTGTGGAAAACGCAGATGCGGCTGCGATGAACTTTCACCGCAAGTCTTCGTGTCCATCACAACCAACGCCGTTGTTCCATCTGGCTGCTTTTTGGACACAGCCGTGCCATCCAGCGCCTGTGCCAACTCTGACTTGCTGGAACATTCTGGAATGAACTTCACGAAGCGGTCCACGAGGTCACCTGCTTCCAGGATGTGAGAGGAAAAGTCTTCCTCAAGGTCCTCAGGGCAGTGCTCGACACCGTCGGGCAGGAAGGTGGTGAGATAGTCCTTGGCAACGGTGGGTGCCACAACCTCTTCCTCATTCTTTTTGGACTTGTGGATGTGCGCATCCAGGGCGGCATTCAAGTCTTTCATCATGTCGCTGAAGGGCTCCTTTGCAAAGAGGTCGGCAGGCGCTGAGGATCCTTTCAGCAAGTTCTTCAAGGTGTGGTCATGGAAGGCGCCGTAGACCACTTTCTGACAGGGACATCATTGCTAAAATCAACTGACGACCAACAAAAAGTGAACAAAAAAGCGAAAACTTGGACAAACAAAATTCGATGACCGCAAAAATTCACAAGATGGTGCCTTCAAGATGTCAACGGCCAACCGAATAACTTCATGCTCCGTTCCCAGCCAAGATTGATCCGGCTGCTCCGACCCGTCGCCGCCACGAGAACTCACTCCAACCTTGGAACGAAACTGGGCATGGGTCTGGAGATCCTTCATCACGTCGATCCACTCAGGCGGAACATTCTTCGAGGCCAAGTGATCTGTGATCCACAGCATCATCTTCCGCTTGGTGAGGAAGACATCAAGCAACCCACGAGTGCTCGATGTACCTTGCAGGGCGCGGGTTGAGAGGTCCCGGTTGTTGATCTCCTTCAACTGGAAGATGTAGTCCAAGATGGTGTTGAGAATCCACAACTGCTCTGGCTCCTTCCCCTTCATGCAAATCACCTCCAACACGCGGATGTAGTTGAGGCAGGATGCTTTGCCAAACTCCATCTCCATCTTCTGAATGGCATTGAAGGCGTCCGGGTAGCACAGCATGCGGTCGTGGATCTTAATGGCGGAGTCCACAAAGCTGAAGTCCACACCCTCAATAACCATTGTGCCCAAATCCGTGACCTTCGCCTGCCAAGCCTCTGCGATTTCACGCCGAGTTCCAGGCTGAAACTCATCCCTAAATTTCACCAGTTCGTAGATCTGCTGGATGGTGGACCTGGTGAGGGCATCATAAGTACCAGCGTATCTCTGGCGAAGATTGACTGACTTCCAGAAACGCTGTTCATAGCCGGTGGTGACTTCGACCCGCATGCTGACATTCAGCATTACTTGCTTCCATTGCCTCAAGCACCACAGGTACTTTCATGGGAAAAACATTCAAACATAAATTCAAAGCACATGCACTTGAAAAAAGCCGCATGGAAACATCTAAGAACATCAAAGTCGGAAAACTTCAAATTGCAATAAAGAGGAGACAAGCCACTGCAGCGTCGAATCGTCCGACCCGTTTCTGATAAGATCAGCAACGTACATCACCAGGGAATGATCTAGTTCCTCCGGTGAAACTCTCGTCAACTTTCCCTGAACCTGGTCCCTTTGAAACTGCGCAGCGCTCATTCCCTTGTCAACGACAATCACGATCTCCTCCCGCAATTTTTCAGGCCCGGTCCCCTCATAGTAGTTGTACTGAAGCTCAAGACTTTTGTCACTCATTGGAACATTGGGGCTGTTGAGGCTCCGGAGGTTGCACCAGAAGATGTTCCCGGCAGCCACGTAAACTCCCGTGGATGCCAAGGCTGACTCGTGGTCTTGAGCGTCCCATGGTGCCTCGCAAAGGGAGGTGTTCAATCAACCCCAAAAAGCACACAAAAACCAAAAGCACAAATTTAAAAACTACAAATTTTGGGAGACCCCCCTTGAGAGACTCAGGGCATCTGCCCTGCCTCCCTCAAACAGGGGTGCGCGCGCGGGGTTGTTGAGAGACTACCGGCAAAACTTGGGAAGGGTGTTTGAGCCAGACAGGGCATCTGCCTTGCCTCTCTCAACGGGGGTCCAGGAGTAGCTCTCAGCAACCCCGCGCGCGCACCCCTGTTTGAGGGAGGCAGGGCAGATGCCCTGAGTCTCTCAAGGGGGTCCGGCAAGTTTGCAGCCTTTTCCTGAAGTAACAAAACTAAATCTTTGCGATCGTGCGCGTGCGCCTGTGTATCGTGCGCGCCTGTTTTTCTTCACATCGTGCGCGGGCACCTGTGTATCGCGCGCGCCGGTCCGTCTCAGACACAGGCGCGCGCGCACGATGCACAGAAAAGCAGGCGCGCACGATGCAATCTACTACGAATAGAGAAGCCAGCGCGCACGACACACAGGCGTGCGCGCACGATGCACAGACCTCAGTGGGCACGATTCGTGCGCGCGATCAGTGTATTTATTATTTGAAACTTACTAACTGCATCAAAGGTGCTTTTGTTTGCTGTAGAGTATGTTCATGTGATTGATATGTCGTCTCTCTTCAGTAAATGTGTAATAATCATAATCTATTACACACTAAAAATCAAGTTCTTGAATGGACGGTGGTTATAATTGCTGCACACCGTCAGTCGTGGCATTGGAAATAAATCAAAAAAACTAGGAAATTAAATTACGATTCCAAATTTTCAGATCCCAGTGACCATGAATTTCAGAAACCAGCCTGCATTCCACCTTCGTTGTCTGCAGCGTCCTTGTCAATCTTGGGCGGGGTCTCGTGCATGATGTTGCTGAAGAGAGGATGAGCCATGATGGCCTGCAAAGCGTCCTCCAAGTTGGAAAGGTGGCGTTGGTTCACATCCGCCACAATGCCTGAAGGCTTCGCCAAGTTCATAACTGGCTCAGCTGCCACAGCCTCAGCATTGGCGGCCACTGCCACAGCAACGGCCGCTGCAGCCGCCTTCACCTTCGGCTGACCCTTCGCCTTCGCCTGACCCTTCTTTGCCATGACGGTTCTGCAGCCAAAATCTAGCAGGTATAATCACTTTGCAAATGTGACTGAAACTCCCCCCCCTCCCCCCGGAAGGTGAATGCGGGAACAGCAAGGCGCTTTATTCAGCACCCCTGGCATCATGTCAATGAGGGTGCGCATTGAGCGCTTAATTCAGCACCCCTGGCACCACGCCAATGAGCGTGAACGACAAGGACAAAAAGGTTCCTGATGCATCAGTTGAAAAAAACTGAGCGCTTACGCAGCACCTTTTGACTCTTTTGACAGCATACGCCCTCCAAGCCCTCCAAGCCTTTGCGCTGCGATGGGCGGCAAAACCCAAGCACCTCGGCTTTCACTGCAATGACCACTGCAATGATCATGGGAAAAGGGTGTTATAGTCCCGCGCTTGTTCAGCACAAGTAACCAGTAGATAATAACAAGTAAAAGGCGCTTCCTCAGCACCAAACAAACTCTTGTAAAAAATGCAGGCGCGCTTACTCAGCACAACAACATGATGCCTTATACTTCGCATGCTTTTGATTTGTGTATGTGAGCACTCTGTTTTTGCTCGTCGCTGTCACCCCAATTTGCTGAGCCGAAATGGGGCCACGCAGGCGAACCCCTTGCGCAGCGTGGCCAGCAAAATCACTTGAAATTGTACACACAAGCAACCCTCCGGAGGAACTTCAAAAATCCGTCCTTGTTAAATACATTTCTTCTGCTGCTAAGAGCTTTTGCTTCGGCAGCTGTACCCAAAGAAATTATGTTGAAAGAATTTCTACCATCTTTCACGCATCTCTCAGCAAACTGGTCCCATGAGTCAAGCAACTTCCACTTTGACAATCTGGACCTGACTGCTTTTTCAACGACCTGGAACAGTCTTGGGCAACCTTGCTTGAAGTTCGGCGATACCAGCAGGTGCCTTTTGGTTCGGACGGCTGGGTCATAAGCGAAAGTTGCACCACGATCCCTCACTTTCTGTGGACAACCCTTTGCTTGGTACCGAAGATGGGTAAGATCAATGACGAATCCGCCTTGGAGCACTGCAGTCCATAAAATCAAGGGCGGAGGGTTGGCAGCATCTTTGACTGCAAAGAACAACGCCTCATCAGCATCAGCAGTGACGGTGATCGTCTTGAACTCTTCGGCCCATGACTCGTCCTCCAGCCAAACTTTGTGAATCGATTGGATCTGAGGTGTGGATCGACTAAGCTGCTTGCACTGCAGTTCTTTGGCGCGGAACCTCTTCTTGTCATTCACTTCCTGCTTCTCCAGAAATGCCTGGGCTGTTTCCTGCATGCTTTCGGGGATCTCACTTTGAAGCAAAACCCCATCCAGGAAGCCTTGAATCCGGTTCTTGAACTGCTTTTGCTGCTGAAACAGGATCTCTTGCTGCATGGATTCTGAACCATCGATCAAATCTGCGGCTGCAAGTCTTGCCTCTTCCCGCACATCTGAAACAGATCGAGGGCCTGCGGCTGCCAAACGCCGCCTCTTGGCAATGAACGATTTCTCGGTCCCGGCAGAATCCTGACAATGCAATGATTGAGCAGCGCCCTCAAATTGAGAAGAAAAAACGGCTAAGCCTAATGAGTCCAGGGCGCCACATTCTTTTTCTTGACGCCCTTGTCCAAGCGAGAACAGGACCCATTGCGATGCTCCCCGTAAAGAGATTGCCAAATAGTTGAAGCTGTTGCGTTGACTTCAGAACCAATACGGTCAAAATCCCAAAACATCTTCAGCTCCAAACGTCTGTTCTCATCTGAAAGGCACCGCTCACACTTGCGAAGCTTCGCAAATACTCTTTCCACTCCAGTGGTCGTGCAACCATCCCACGCACCAAGCCTCATGACCAACTTGATGAGGTTGCCAGTTGGGTGGACTTTGCTCGAAAATCGGCGCACCTTTCTGATTGCCTCCCTCCACGACTCAAAGGAGCTGACCGAAGCAAGCTTGCTATGATGCATCGCAATCGGCCTCAGATCCAGGAATTCATCAATGAAGCATTGCTGTGCCACATCTGTGAACACAGCGCACAGCCTCTGGGCAGACTCATGGACCTGAGCCATTCCATCCTGACCAAGCTCAGCCTCTCGACTTCGACTGCTCAAGTCAAAGATGCTCATGGCGCTCATCAGACTGAACCCAGGAAATTCTGCATCGATGGTCTGCGTGAGCAAGGCTACCCAAGCACGCATCTCCTGCAGCACAGTAGTGTCATGTGTGTTGCTTTCAAGGTTCTATCATTTTCAATCATGCGACCATCATTAACAACACAAACAACATATCACAAATCAATTATCGCAACATTGCTCCTGCAAAGCTTCTTGAAACACCGCGTCTGATATCCGATCACCACCAATAGATCGTGGGCCGGTGCTGCAAAGGAATGAAACAGGGGTTTGCAAAGTTGTAAGCATGTGCTCGCAATACCCAGAGTTCCTGCATTGCCCATTCAAGAACAAAGCCGATACACGGCCAACGAATAGCTGAATCTCCGCGACCAAGGCAGCCATGTCCCAATCACCTCTGTCGAGGAAGCGGATCAAGATACTCACCTCATCGCTTGCGTCAGCCATCATTGACAGCAAAATCAGGCGGCGTTCCGAAATGTATTGCAAGAAACTGTCAGCACGGAAGCCATCCCTTTGGCCCTTCCTGTGAGTGGCAGCAAAAACCGCTGTCGAAATGAAGGCCTTGGTGAAGAGAACAAATCTTCCGGTTGGTCTTTGGGTGCTGTCAAACCTGTGCTTGCGAAACTGCAAATTTTGGATCCGCTTGTTGCCATGCATTTTTTTGCAAAACTCAGCAAAGGCCGACCCAAGCACATCAGAAAACTGAATAGTGCTCGTCATAGAGTCTTGTCTTGTGATGAGGGTGGAGTGAACATCGTGTATCTCAGGTATCGCTGCAAAGGGCCGCTTCAGAAACCGCTGCACGGCATGCGCAGGATCCTTGACAATCATCTTTGTTTGTTCAAAGATTGTAGGATCGGCCCGCATCAACCTCAGGGCACATTGCTCGTCGGAGGCCGCATCTGCTGCCAAGACTTCCTGGGAGCGCCGGCAAAAGAAACTGGGCCTTCAAATGCTTGGTTGAGACCAAACAAATTGAATTACAAACAGCACCCGCCCAAACAAGTTGAATTACTGACAAATTCTATGTTGAAACTGAGCGCAAGCTGCGACCTTGCTGCGAGCCGCGTCGAAAAAGTCTTGTCTTCCGGCACAAGCTCTCCAAAGAATACTCCGAGTACACTTCTGCAAGCTTTCCATCTCGGCTGGAGGCAGCTTCTCACAGCCAAGAAAGCCTCTTGCTACCTCCAGCGTTTCTGAGCAAGCGCTGAAGGTCACCACTAAGAGACCACGCGAGACATCCTGGTGCAAAACAATTGTCCCAGCTTGCTTGAGGAAGCTCAAGTCAATGGCTTCGCAAGCCAGACCAACACAACGCTGCATCTTGGTCATCTTCTTTCTGCCGCCAAGCCCAGGAATGTGAAAATTCAACGACGTATGTTTCATTCCTGAAGGAGACAAGCACATGAGCTGACAAAAAATGACCTGAAATTCAAATCGGTAAGTGGGCTGACCGGAACCGAAAAAATAAGGAAGCTAATTGCTCCGAAAGTCTTTCCACCATAAACTGAGCAAACTGCTCTGGACTTGGCGCACCCTGATGATCAGCAGAGCCATTCCCACACGAAAGGATTCTCAATGCATTTTCGTGAGCTTTGCTTTTGGCATGCCGTCTCACACTG